CTCTGACCAGCCCCTCCTATCTGCCCCCTGCCACAGCCCCAGGATGACTACTCGGTCCTGTTTGAAGACACCTCCTATGCAGATGGTTACTCCCCTCCCCTCAATGTGGCCCAGAGGTACGTGGTGGCTTGTAAGGAGCCCAAGAAAAAGTGAAGCAGGCTGGCAGATTCGCAATCTCCTGCCACCCTCAAGCGGGAATGCAACAAAAGATTGTGTGAACAAATAAACATTCTTCCCCCTTGCCCGTGTCTCCTGGGTTTTACTTTTCCAGACCCTTCTTCCCTGCCCCATGTAGGGCGAGTTGGGGAACTGGAGGCCACAGGGCAGATGGCTCATTTGGCCCCAGGGGGCATTTACTCTTTCAGCTCGGGTTGCTCTTTGCTTCCAACAGAGGCTCTCTGTGTGACACAAATCGTATTTTATTCTCGAGGCCAGGATTGGGCTCCTTTCACACCACTCCCTTTGCAGTGATGTCCGATGAACACCTCTCACACCTCTGAGCGGAAGCTGAGGTTGCAGCCTGCCATCTTCTCAGCATAGTCGTTGTCAAAGCGCTCGTTCTGGGCCACAGTGAAGGTGGTTTTCCAGTCCCCTGCGACGCCTGGGGAAGGAGGGAGGGAGGGAGGGAGGGAGGCTGGAGGTCCTGGCCACAGAGGAGGCCCCACGTGACTCGGGGCCGGCTCTAGCTGCTGCCTCCACCCTTGCCTCCCCACATGCCCGTCCTGGGCGGGCACCCACCTTTCCTCATGAAGGCGGAAACGTTGTGGTCCATGACGTCTCGGGGGATAGTGCTGTAGTTCGCCATGTGATTCTTCTTCATCTCCTTGAAAGATGTGTGATGGACAATGTGATCTACGGTCTCCTCTGGCAGGGAACGCCCCACAAACTGCAGGATCTTCTGAATCTCCCTTTTGGGGTTCTGGAGCAGCAGAAGGGCTCTTCAGTGGAGGTTTGGGTTGCTCACTGGGCAAACAAAAGGGAGGCCCCTCTCTAACCTCTCTGGGATCTCTCACTTCCGCTTAGAGACCTCAGACCCAGCTCCTTGACTCTCTGCTCCTCTCTCCATGGGGCAAATTAAATTGCCTTCTGCCCTGTGGCCCTGGAATAAGCTCTGGCTCCTTAATGGCTGAGGGCTGGCCAGTGCTCTTTCATAACTCTGGCGCAGGGAGAAGCAACAGCAGTAAACGGCTGATCGCTGGTGGCAGTTTGGTGACTCAGGCGCCAGGAGGTAAGAGCTGTATGAAGTGCTGCCGCCAAGGTGGCACTGCAGCTGTGAGTCCGGGGCAGGGAAGGCGGGGTGGGGGCGGCCCTAGGGGACGGGGGCTTAGAGGGCCTTGGCAGG